AGAGAGAGAGAGAGAGAGAGAGAGATGACCTTTCCTGAATCCTTTAGTGCAGCCTGTTTCAGTTCTGTTATTTCTTTGTCTTTTTGTGTGGTGTTAGAAGCCAAAGTCTTGAGCTGTAATTCCAAAGCTTCTACTAATTTATCTCTTTCTTCACGCCACTTTTGAAGATTGCTGTCCTTTTCTACCAGCTGCGCAGCAAGTCTTTCCTAAATGGGGAAAAGATAGGTTAGAATTGAACACCACTTCTACACGCTATCTGAACTGTTCTGATAGTTTGGCTTCGCATAGTTAGTACTATTTTATGGCCTTAGTAAACTTAAGAGCCTATGTAAATCTTAAAAAGCTCACATAGAGCTAGTTTCACTACAAATATGCAAAAGCAAACCATGCTTCAGTTAGAAAATCTGTATCTGTATTTATACTCTTTGTGAAGAGAATTTTTGGTAAGAACCACCACTCCTGTTTGCTCGCTTTGTGGTTTTATTACTAACAAGTCTCAGTCAAGCAAAGTCACAGACAAAGTGAAAGTAATCCTAAGCTCCTAACACCCTCCTGTACTGATTGCAGGTCCAGAAAGTCATTGCTAACTACTTCTAGATGCAAATACAGTTTCAGCTTGTATAGATTCATAAAATAATTTCATATGCTTAAGAAGTTACAAACTTGATGCAGTCCAGTGAACAGGCAAGGTATCCACCTTGTTATTAACTATCAGTCACTCTACTTTGAAAGCGATATGGGAGCAAAACCACTAGAATTTTGACCAAGTATTTTTACTCTATATCTGGAAAGAGGCTTTTTTTTTTCCAACTTCTGCTTCCCTTTCTCTTTTTTTTTGTTTTTTTTTTGAAAAGCCAAGCAACAAATCTTGTTTTTCAAAGTATATTTTCTTAGCTTCATTAAGTAGCAATTCATTTAAGTGTAGGTTACTTATTGGTATGTTTACACACAAAGATGAAGTTTGAAGACTTCATAGTGAGGTAGTGGGGGTGATAGGATAGAAAGGAACAGACATGTTAACTTCCATTTTGTACTAAGTTTTTTCATTTTGTGACGCTCCTATTCTTCCCTTTCCATATTGAGAAGATCACATCTAGGCTTTGCCATGTGATAAAGCGAGAGGACTTTGACAAAGGCCAGCTACCCTCAAGTGCCCCCACTGTTATCACTTGAGATTTGCTCTGTACTAAAGACTTACACTAGAGGACTCTGCTGAGACCTCCAGTCACTTACAATTTCTGCCTGTTGCTCTACATGACGTTCTCTGTCCTCCGCAAATTTTCTCATTTCTCTGTTGCGATGGCTCTCAGCTTCTTTTACTTGACTTATGAGTCCCATTTTTTCCTCCAGCCACTTCTTTCTATCAGTTTGATACTTTGCCTCATTTTCCTATTTTAATGAAACCAGAAATAAAACCATAGATTTTATTAAGCAAAAAAAAAAGTCTTAAAATCCAGATTACCATTAAATGGATTCGTTTCAAAAAGGTAACAGAAATACTAACACAGTTTTACTCCAGCGTATTCCCAAGTGCAAGTATTACATTCTCGTTTGTTCTTCTCTACTGAAAAAAATTAACAATTTTCAGCACTACTTATTCAGACTGGCACGTCTTCATGGAACAGAACTTTTTTCCTCTAAAAATGTTCTAGGTAAGTCACAAACACTATAAAAGTTACACCAAAAGTAATGGTAAAGAGACCTTTTAACTTACAAATACCCAATTTTTTATGCTGCCTTACAGGACATGTTAGAAAACTTACTTCTACTTCAAGACTGAAAGGCAAAGAATGCAGTACAATTTGAATGGTAGGCAGAGATGGTGTGTACCTAAGAATGTCACTTCAATCCACAGGAACTTTGCCTCCTTTTCTATCACAGTCAAACCTCTTGTCAGACATAAGACAGAAGGCACCTGAAAAGCTGCTTGGAAAAAAAGTCTACTTTCTAATCCAAGGAGAATTAGAGGTAAGTCCTCAGCCTAACAGGAAGGGCTTACAGGTCATACAGCAAGCACAAGATTTTGAAAGAGTTTGATTTAGTTGCCCAAGCAACTGACGGAAAAGAGGTTTGGAACTGATATTAGGAGTTGGATTGGTTAAGACAACTGTAAGAGGAGCCCAGCTACAGAAGAAGCACTGTGCATAGTAGCACAACGTAGGGACGGGTGCAATCCATTATGGGGCATCACTGATGCCATATATTACAAAGACACTGCATCCAGACTTTGCTGCACTGGTGCACTGCAGCTTTTAGAGGAGATTTCCTTTACCAGTATAAAAACTTGCCACATCACGCCCTAGCTCTTGAAGATAGTGACACAAAAGAATTTAGACTCCTAAATGAAAGTTACGGCTTTAAAACTAAGTTTGAATTACGTCACCATATTTTACCTTCAGTTCTTTTTGCAGCTTTATTAATTCCTCATTTTCATTTATGTTTTTCTCTTCATTTTTGCTCATCTTTTGCTGCCAGCCACTATCGCTCTGGTTATTCAGCTCTCTATATTTCTGCTTCCATGCTTCCACTTCTAGTCAGTACACAAAATGAGGTTACATATTGTATAGTTTCAAATGCATATTTGACCACATTTACATCCTTCTACTAAAGTTACTTGGATTTATCAGCTATGACCACAAAGGGACAACAGAAGCCTTTAACTGTTAGAAGTTTGTTATGTACCACATAAAATTAATGCCTAAGTAACAGTCAACAAATAAAACCAGAAGTTTAAAGCAGCTACCATAATACATCCAAAACAATTTTGCTTCCCTGCTTCCTTTCCATTGAGAGATTACCCAAAACTAATCTGTTGATCTCTTCTAATTTGGCTTCAAGCACTTGATCTTGTTCAATCTGAGTCTGTTCTTGTTCTTCTAATGTCATCCGCATATCTTCAATTATTTTTTCCTTTGCACACAGATCTGAAGATTTGAAAATAAATTTACAGATGAGCCCCCTCCTAGTTACCATCATTCTCTCCTAAAGTGCCTTCATTACAAGTCATTTCCCCCATTCCCTCAGATCAAAAGCTCTGTTAAAAAGAAATAGAGCATCTCTACTCAACTGCCCAAATCCAAAATTCTTAATGATTCTCATCAACTTGATTTAGGTAAGCATTTCAGTGATAACATCAGTCACACTATGGCTCGTATTATATGAGAAACTAACCAGTGTTCAACTGATAAATGTTTATCAAACCTATAGAAACTGTTATTGTGCCAGTTCACGTTTCAGTGTGACTTTGTTTAAATGGCCAACTAAAATGGCAAATAAATGCTAACATTTAATAAGTTAACACTGATACAGCAAATCCATACTTTCTCTGGGGCTTACATTTCTTATTCTGAGACTGTTTCTTTGCTTTCAAATATAACTGCTAATAATGATTCAATAAAAATTAATTCCTGACTCTAACATTTGAATGGCCAGGTTAGAGTTTCTCTGTATTTTAAAATATAAATATACAAGACTCTCTAAATTCGTTAACAACATGACAACTCATTATGTTGCCATTCCACACCAAAAAAATGGAACAATAATGGCTTTTTCTGACCTTTACGTGTTTTCTCGTACTGTTTGGAGATTTCTTCCAGCTTCTCATTATTCAACTGCTCCTAAGTATCACATTGAAAGCAAATTAAAGAAAACGTGTTGAAAGAAACAAATATACATACTAGAAATGAGTAGCTTTTCATTCTGAGCTTTAATAAGTAATGAATAAAGTATTTAAGACAAACAGTCCAGAACAAATAAGTTTTTCATATAGTGTAAAGGAGCAGCTGATATTAAAAAAAAAAAATAGTGTTTAGAGGAAGACGTTACTACTAACATATCTAAGTATCACTAATCAGAATCAAGGTATCTGCAGGTATTAAGTATGTATTTACTAGGCAGATTACTCTATTTAAAACAATTTGACAATGTCCTGCAGTGAGAAGTTCTTTAAATATCTTTCATTCATCCATTAAAACTAATTTCAGCTGGCTACTCTTATTTTTACCCCAATTTCTGTAAGCTTTCTCCTGTTGCTTGGAAAACTTGCCTCGTTAATGGATTAGTTAAAAAAATTAAAAGCAAGTAAAATTTTAAAAAATAAAATACCTTTTTAAGTTGCAGGATGGTGCGCTGTTTGATCTCTAATTCTTCACTAAGCTGGTTTTTAATTTTCTGAAGTTCATTAACTTTGCTCCTCAGGGATGTCTCCTCAGATCGCATTGTACACACCTGTAACAATGCACAAAGACAACAAGCAAAGCTAACATTTAGCTATAAGCCTTTTACAATCTCTGTAAGTTATCTAAATAACCAAATACTTTAAGAGTCAAATTTTTGCAAGCATCTCAGCTAAATTTCAGGGGCTGGAAGTGTGCTATACTGTACATCCTTCCTAGGGAACGATTTTCACCATAGAATAGAGTATTACATTTGGCAGGCGGAAAACAAACAAACAAAGAAAATTACAAACAAAAACCACCCCAAGACCACCAGGGAATAGCCTAATCAAACTACAAATTCAGTTGTCCTCAGATTTTAAAAAGTCTCTGGAAGTTAGTGCTTTCCTTTTCTGATTAATCCATCCTTTCCTCCCAGCGATCAGCATTTTCCACAAGTCTGAGGCTTCGAAGTCAGCACAAAAAACAATGTAAGGCTACTGTTGTTATAAAGATTATGAAGTCCTTCTCCATAACCAGATTAGCCATAGTTTTCACAAACCTTTTTCAAGTGTATTAGTAAAATTTACTTTCCCCCCTTCAATATTTGTAGTAATCCATTTTTTGACATCTAGTCTTGTCTTTAGCTTACACCTTAAATGGCAATGTAACTTAAGATTCCCTGTTACTCTAAATGTATCACTCAAAATAGCCTTATTATGAATCACTTTTAACATTTGTAGCTTGAGATTTGTGAAAACAGGTTTTAATAACAGAACCCCAAGCATAAACTTGCAGAAGAAACATTTGGCCTATGGTTACCAACCTCTTTTTGTACTTGCTGAATTTGTTTCTTGGCATCAGAAAATTTCTCTTTCAAATCTGTATATTCTTCCTCTTTCCTCTGTAAATCTTTTTTCAAACTCTGTACAAGGGCAGAGGTCTCAGAAAGATCCTTACGTAGCCTTGTGTTAGAAATTAAGAGACATAAACAACATTAGTGTTACACATCTCAAAGAAACAGCTTTTACACATTAACTCAGGCTCTTTGCTGGTTTTATTCATTAATAGAATCTCAGATCTATCAGATCAATGACAAGCTTTATAATTTTACTTTTAGATTTCAACTTCTTATTATATGATCCTGAAGTAACAAACTGTTCAGATTCACTTCTGAACACTGCAATTCTTTAAATTTTATTTTTTTAAGCACAGTAGAGCAATCATTTTTATTACTAGGTGTCCTTACAAAGTAACAAAAGAGCAAGGTTAATATCAAGTATGTTTGAGCTTGATATCTACATCCCAGACCTTGTAAGGATCAAAATAAACAAAAATCAAAAGAAAATAGAAAAAACAATAACATTACAGCAAGTACTGCTGTTACAACTGCTACAAAGTAATTAAGAAGTTTGATGGGTTTATTTTTAAGTGGTCATATTTATTTAAAAAAGTTTACAGTAAGACATCTTTGATTTTTACTTTAAAACTAACAGAAGTTTTTTTTAGCTTCTATAATTGGCAATACAAAATAAGGCCTCACAAAAGGAAAACCTTTCAAAGCGTTAAAAGCACAGGATTTGGGATCCCCAGACCTTCATACTAAATTGTACTTTAGAGTATATTCAGGTACTCACAGATATGGCACTAAAGAAACCCTAGTCAGGAAGAGGGCTACATAGCATCTTAAAGCTATTTTTACATGATTGTAATTTCCTTACCATATAGCAAATATAATCTCTCAGATACATTTAATCTTATTTCTTAAAGATTTAAAAAGTAGAGGGGGCTAGGAGAAGTTCTACCCTCCTACACCCATTATTCTTTCAAGTTCTTATAGTACACTGTGTTCACCTAGAATAGCTATTACCAAAACCAGCTGTTTACTGTTTACTCCCTAGGCTATTTTCTTTTTCTTTCTTCTTTTCCTTTTTACCATTCAGTCCTTTCCAAAGAAAATGTTGCCTGCTTTTATACAAGTTACAGGATATAACATAAAACTATGTATCACTTCCTCCAGAAACGGTACACAACATAAAACTATTAGAAATCCCCAAATAATTCTTCATTTCCTTGCATGCTCCTGTTTCCCCCTACAATAGTTCCACATGATTTGGAGCTATATTTTTGAAAGAATATACAAACAGGTGAGGAAAACATAGCCAGCAGAATATGCAAATATAAAATTCAAGTAGTGTATTAAAACTTCTTAAAGAAGTATTTTGGTTAATAAAGTTAATAAACTTGCAAAGGTGTTATGTCAAAATAAACTGATGTTCACAGAAGGTGGTTTTAACTTGAGTCTGTTCTCAAAGGGCTATGAATTATCTCATTACTTACTTACAATTCTATAGATTGTATTTGCTTATCCTCTTTTTTCTCCTTTTCCTGAAGAGAGTGTTTCATGTTCTCCAAGCTGTTCATCAGCTGCACAACTTCCTTCTTCAGATTTGCTTCTTGATCATTTAATTCTTTCATTTTTTTGTCTGAATTGGCACATTTCTCTTGCAGAGCTACTGTATTACTTTCTAGGTTTAAAATAATAGATTCTTTTTCTTTAAGTACTACTTCTAACTTTGTTATGCTGTCATCTTTAGCTCTACAAGCCTCCAGGAGGCATTCAAGCTCTCTTATTTTTCCCTTGTAGCTGGTAACTTCCTCCTCAAACTGTGCAATTACTCTCTGATCTTCTGCAGCCTGTTTTTCAAAATCCTGGGTTTTCTTCTGGATTTGCTCTTGTAGCTGATTCATAAGATCTTTTTCCTTTACAGACTGACAATCTTGATTTGCAATCTCATTTAATTTTATTTTTAGTTGATTATTATAATTCTCAGTGTCACCAAATCCCTTCTTTAAGTCTTCAACTTGTCGAAGTAGTTCTTGAATCTGCTGACTCTTTTGTGAAGAGGCCTTAATAATATTTTTGCATTCCTCCCAAATGCTTTCAATGCTGCAGTGAAAGGAGCTCTCCTGCCTCAGATCTGCTGTAGAAGCAGTTTGGGACTGCATGCATACAGGACTCATTTGAACACTCTCTGGTTCATCTTTTTGATAGTCTAAGGAGTCCTTTAGATTAACTAAATCAATATCCATAGCATAAGATTCTAAGTGACATTTATACAACTCATATACTTTGGACTGCATTGTTTTAATTTGTGACACTTTATCAATTATTTTTTTTTTGGCACCTTCTACTTCGTTATTTAGCTGAATAATCTTTTCTTCTTGTTCCCTATTTATAGTTTTCTGCTTATCTAATTCAGAAACAATCTCCTGATAGTCAGCTCGACACTGATGAAGTTCTTCACTTAAGCCAGAAGCCCTTTCTTTGGAAGCAGAGAGCTTGAGATGCAAGTTAGTAATCTGCCCACTGAACTCTTCTTTTTTGTTTCTTTCTCTTCTGCATTGTTCTTCAAGTGCAGCTATCTGACCTTCCAAGGTTTCAGTTCTTTCCTTCAGTGCTAGTATTTCTGCATAGTTCTCAGAAGTATTTGTTTTCACATACTCAGTTCTCTCTGGCTCTAGAGAGTCATCTTCCCAACTCTCCTTCATATCTCCTGAAAAAACCCCAAAACATACAACTCAGGTTGATTAAAATCAATAGTACAAGTCACTAGCCATACCAAATCGCAATTACTGTATGGAAAATGGTCACCATCTGAAAGCTACATCCTCATATCATATGGCATTTTGAAGTCTTGAAGTAATTAAAACCCTCTGAATGGTTTAACATGCAATAGGTGCCTCTTAGGCTTCTAGACCTAGAAGATAGTTTGCAGCAAGAGGTGTTCAGGAGCCTTAAAGAACACTTTGCCATGGCTCTATTGCAGCCTTCTACTCTGCACCACTAGTAGAAAAATCTAGCTAGTTTTACTAATATGTAGTAACAGGTATGAGCTAGATAACATTCACAGTTATTTCTAGTTTCCACCTTCACTGGTTCAACAATCCCTTTAATACAGCCAGCAATCACCCATTCTACGTTTAGAAAAGCAATGGTATCGTATACTTTTCTGAGAAGTTTCATTCATACTCAATATCGCCTTATTTTAAAAATGATGCTAAAAATCCAGCACAAGTTTTTCGCTTAGTGTTTGGGGTCTTCCTCTCTTTTTTCAATTAGTTTCTAAATTAGATATAAGGATAACTATTTATGCCCACACCTAATGTGTTGCATACGAAGTTCTCCCAGAAAGACGTACAACATTCCATCACAACTGCAAATTTCCACAAATATTTTATTAGCTTAAGACTGTTTTTTCCCTAAGTAATGAGAAATTCTAACTAAAATCACATGCATTTCACCACCTTCAAAATTGACTCCAGCTGTATTTCACACAAGTGTTTTAGAATCCAGCTGTGTCCATTTAGTAACATGCATGCTATGTTTTAGGATTAAAATCAAGCCTGACTATCTCTAAGGATTAGGTCATTACAACTGTGTACTCCAGGGAGATACTATGGATTCTTGAGAGTACTTGGCAAGTACTGAAACTACAGCAAGGTGGAGTCTGGCAGTCATCTCACTTTGGGAGCATTAAGCACATGGGTACACGTGTACTGCATGGAAACATCCTTTGAACGGATCCAACAAGTTTTATAGAGTCACTAACTCTGAGTTACTAACAAAGTCATACTGAAGCATTAGCAATAGTGTTTTCCACCTCAATTCAGGTTTTGTTTTTTGATTATTTTTAGAGTGACCAAATTCCACAGAACATTCTTTTCTTCCTGCTTTTCTGCATCTTTCCTTTTTTGTTCTAGTTAGACATATCAAGTACTCCTGCTAGGTCAGACAGCAGCTTTACTTTGGCTTGTAAAGCCATGCTTTTAAATCCTACAAGATTAAAAATTTTGGAATGGAGATGGTTTTCTCCGAAGGCCCAGTTGTGTAGTCCCAAGAAAACATATCAGACAAAATACTACATATTCCTCACACTGGACATGAGTTTTACGTACTTCACTAAAAGGGAATGGTGTTGAGGTGTCTTAAGACATATTTTGTGATCAAAGGTGGCAAGATGAAAAAAGTAGCAGAGCTTAGCCCAACACCTAGAGTGAGAAGGGTATGATGATTCACAAGAGGATTTAGAAGTGATCTGGATGTTTTGTACTGACAACCACAATCATGCAGCAAATAGGATAAATATTAGTGCAAGAAGATACATGATATTCAGTCCAGAAGCTTTTTAGGTAGGAAGTACTAAGAAAGAAAAAGACTGACCCAAAACATGGGAGGCAAGTCCTAGAGAAGAGTACAAAAACCTGAACTTCCAGACAAGATAGCCTATCCTCTCCCAAAATAAACTTTGGTTACAGGCCACTACCATATCTAAATTCTACAAGAAAGCCACCACAATGTAGCTGTGCTCATTGTTCTATTGTGCCAAGTACATTTAAGGAAAATCGTTAAGTGTAAGTATATGTATTAATAAATTTCATCATTATGGAGCATCTAACAACTCAGTTTTCAAATCAGATGCCTTATATTCTCAACGCTGACAAAAGAAACATATTTAACATGACCGAATAGTCTGTTCTTCCCAACAGAAAGATCTCAGTACTGACATTAATTGGCACTGTTAGTTATCCACTTTAATTTCTTGTTTGAGAAGAGATATCACTTTCCTAGTTTTTGGTTGTTTAAATGAGGTTCAGCCATGAGATTGTAACAAACCTACCACTATCTAGTGTATCAAGGAGTCTACATCAGCTTCATTTCCCACCCCTTCGCGTGTAAAATTTATATAGGTGGCACCATTAAATGGTCATGCTAGGATCCAATATTCATCCCAACCAAAGATGGTAGAGAAAAATCAGAGATGCATCTGGTACGCAGACAGAAACTTCTCTTAAGAAAGACTTCAAATGACACTTATTTGAACAAGTTGTACAAACATCAGAAATGCCCTACTGAATCACACAGCATTGGTTGACATAGCCTAATATTTTACCTCCTTTTGCTACTGTTGGTAGGCCCAGCCACTTCCTACGGACCTTTCCTGACATAAAACAAGTTAAGAATGTTGGAGGAATATGAGACAATACATCCCTGGCTTAACCCTTTCAGTATCTACGCATGAATCTGTTGGCTGTTAGCTTGTCTAACCACTCCTGGAATCTGAGAATTATCTGCCTCTCCCACCTCCTAGGGCAGCAAATATTAGAAGTTCACTACCAACGTGAACTTCTGCATGAAGTGCTTCCTTATATAAACTTAAACTGATTTTCTACTAGATTGAGTGTTCCCTCGTTCTTTCACTGCAGAAAGTGATGAATGACAGTCCAGCATTCAGCTTATTCACCATCTGTATCCTCAGTTTTCTGTGATCATGTGAATTTGACAAGTCTCCTTTTAACATGTTTTATCCCTCTTTATGGAGATAGATATTTTGTGCTTCCCATTTTTAATCTTATTTTTCTTCTTCTATCCCATCCTCACCCAAACAATGCCTGGAAGATTTTCTTACTTGCACCTATTCTGCAGGAGGAAAGTAAGAAAGTAAGGAACACTAAGGGAAGGCCTTTCGTTCTCCTTTTGCATATGGTTTCCATAGTTCTATGAGAAACTGAAGCCCAGCTGTGTCCTAAAGTCAATTTAGAGGCAGGCAGATCTTACAAATACCATTTTGCACAAGTCAGTCCCATACAACTCAACCTCGCTGATTAATACACTTTAATGAAATGGATGACATAAATAGTGGCGTCCTTTTAAGTTTCACCATTATCCTTCAACTGCAGCTAGTTTACTCACCTCATTTTAAAAAGACTGGTAAGCTCACAGATAAGGCAAGGAAAACAAAAAGATTGGAAGTGCAAACATGAGAGCTGCACAGAATATGCCATCTGTGGACTTAAAATAATTTTACTTCCATTCAAGTGGAAAGCTTTTCTCCTTTTCCAGCAGTGTCACCTTAACCAGAGCTGGTGTGTTCACAGCATGCATACAGAAAGAAACATCAAGTTTCACAGCACATACTGTATGACTGAACAATCAGTAAGTCATTGACACCTTTGATGCTTGCTTAGACAATTTTTAAAAGCTTGAGCAGGAGATGCTACTTTCCAGGAGTCCAGCAACAGCAAGTTTAGTACAAAAACAACTGTTAAGAAATTGCTTAAGAACCACAGCTGAGTCTGCAAATACATTAACAGATGAGAAAAAGCAGCAGAAAGGAAAGAGTCTAAAAACTAACTTTTATTTTAAGCATTTAGGAGTGAACAGTATAGGACCTTCTGCAAAACAGATGATATTTACATAACAGTTACTTCCATTTACAGTTTAACATAGTAGATTTTCTCCTTATAACATAACGTTTACTCTTCGCAACTTTTTGCTTCTGTTCTGGAATAGTAATCAAGTTTTTTTGGAAGACCCCCTGTTGAGTGATGGTAGAAATTGTACCTTTCTTTGTAGGTGGCTCTTCTTCTACAGTAGGCTTATTTTCAAAGCAACGTTTTCTTCCCACTTCCAATACAGTTTCCTCACAATCCTTGAATTGGCTGCTTTCAATCACTTTGTTAGAGTTCTTTTCTGCCAATTTTCTTTTAATGGTAGTTACAGTGTTGTCCTGTGTTAAAATAAGATCAATTGCTTTGAAGTTTTACAAAGTAAGCACTTAAAAGGCTTAGTAATCTTTTATATGCAAGTATTTTTACAAAACTATCTGGGTAACATATATAGGGGTTGTCAGAGGAACAAGTCAGTTGCAGATCAGTTGCTTAAACCAAAAGCAGGTACACCTTCAGATACTAATAAGCACAATCCTTTGTCCTGTACAGAAAGCAGAGAAAGAGACTAGGAAACTACAAAATGCAAGACTTGCACATAAGAGGAGTTTGTTTACCACCTGAAAACAATTTCCAGTGTCAAAAGAGCTGATGAATTTCCTGATTTGTTCAAAGGGCAAATGGTCAGCTCTGCAAGTTCGACACTTTCTTGTCATAGTTGGTAGAGTTGAGAGTTTTAACTGCCGTCAACAAAGCCACAGATCATTTTTATCATGACAGATCTGATGCAATTTGAAAACCTAGTCAGTTTTGACTAAGAATAAAGTTTTTTTACTTGCAAGATGACACAAGTGGCAAGCCATGCTGGTTGCCAATGACCAATTACTCATCTTTAAGTACTTCATTTTTAAAAAAAAAAACAACACTATAGAACAGACTTGAGATTTGTGGTCATGTTTTAAGTTTCGTGCCACACAGTCTCACAGAAACACTGGACAGAGTTGGAGCCTTGCTCTTGGAAGGAGTAGTAATAGGAAGCAGTCATCACAACTTATCACTGTCAGAGCATTCATACTATTGAAAAGCTTAAGTTGCTGTGGGGCAGAGAGAGGGAATAGAAGATTAAGTATGGTCAAAGTCTTAAGAGGAAGAGAGTGGAAGTGGAAAGAGAGAAAGCCTAAGAGGAAGAGAGTGGAAGAGAGAAATGGATCAGAGTGCTGACTAAGTTTCATTTAAAGTGTCCTCAGAACTACTTCAGGTTACTGGACATCAGGATCAAAAAAAAACCCCTAACTACATGTTTTAATTTTTTTAGCCTGTATACATTTAGCCAAGCTAGTCTTTTGGCATTCAGCAGGTAGCACTAGATTAGCCAGCTGCAAGTTTTATTAAGCACGTTAAAAGCAGAGATACCCTAGCCATCCACTCTTAGTTCCAACTCTGCTCAATATATTCATATTATTGCTCTTCCTTTGAAAGTGTGTGTGCATGGCAGTGGTGGGTGGGACACACTGATTTTTGTTGCCAGTTTACACAATCACTGTCCTCACATTATTAACTTCTAACTTCAATTAAATTTGACCTGTTGCTGCAGCAAAACCTCCTTTCCTTCCTTTTCTGTTCAGACAAAAACAAAGACAGAGTGATGTAATCCCTCTACTCTCACTGCTTAAGTCCTCCCAGTTTGAGGTTTTTTTTTTTCTTCTTTAGAGTGGCTTTTCAGAGTCTCATCTACAGTCCTCCAATAATAACTCCAGATCACTGCTTCCGAAAGTCCCATTTTTCACACACACCCCCACACACATTTTGCTGTAACTTTAGTTTCAATGCCAACTTCACCTGCTACCATTTCAAGCAAGTAGCAATTACTTACAGAAAATTTCAGTTTTCCAAAATAGTTAAGTCCATTATAAGCATAGATTTAGATTTTTTTTGTGTAAAGAAAATTGAGATGTTTAAGACTTACATAGTCTTTTATGGTTTCTTCTAAATGGGATATCAAATCTTGTAGTCTCATAATAACATCATCTTTTTGCTCCACAATGTCCATTAGTTCTTGAATCCTTTTATTCTGTGTATTCATTTTCTTGGAAAAGAAAGAATAGTAGTTCAGTCATCAGTGTTAAATTGTTGAACTATACCATGCATTTAGAAGCAAGATCAGTTAAGCTACGCTTGATATAAGAATAAAAGCTAGAAGCATACTATAATAGTATTTTAAGCTACTGGAATTTTGTATTAAAGCAAATAATTTTGCACAGGTTTTTCCTTGAGAAAGTTACCTCAGTTGCCTCTTTAAGCTGCTCAGCAGACTCATCCAATTTAATAATCTGCATTTCAAAGTCTGTAACAAGAAAAGAAGCCTGTGTCAAATAAGCAGCCATTACATAGTTTACTCAGTAATCCATTTTTCCAGATCTGCTGGTACCTCAGTAGCTTTTGAACAGACTGATTTATTTTCATGTTGACTTCTACTTAAAGGACACTTTTCAAAAGTTTTTTAGGTTTTTTGAACAGGAGAATTGGGCCTTGCAACCCATATAAAATATAGATCATGTCAAGAGACTTCCGAAATTGTATTATGAGGTGTTGCTACTTTTTCCTCTATGAACTTTCCACAGGATACCTGAAAACACTGCATCAGCAAGATTTAAAGAAGTGCGGGGATTACAGTATAACCATGAAATCAAGAATCAATAATGTTGACATCTTATCCCACGATTCAGAAGTCTGCAATTGACTGTTTTAAGCTTTGTCTTAAAAAATGAAATAACCAAGGCCTGTAGAATTGTTCAACCTGAACATATACAAAACAATTGGTTACCACCTCTATACATATGATTTGCTTCCAAAATCCTGCTCAACTGGATTATTATTTCTATTTTACAGTAATCAGTCACTTGTTTTTTCTGCCTTTCACATCACACTTACACCCAGCTCACCTTTGGTTTTCTGTGTCAGCTCTTCTTCAGTTTTGATTAGTTCATTGGTTTTATTTGTCAGCTCTTCTTTGGTCGTAGTTAGTTCAGTGGTAATTTTTCCCAGTTGTTTTTCAAGCCAACCTATGGCTTCCTGTGGATCCTCTAGGGACACAATGTATCTGTGTGCTGCTTCTGCCTGCTTTTTGATATCAATGACATCATTCTGTAGAGAATCAATAATGCCCTCAAGATCAATGTAGGTGCCTGACCCTATGTTGTATTCTTCATCCTGAAAGATAATGTATATCCATTTAGAAATAGCAAATAATTATACAATAGCCATTACTTCTACAGAAAATTTGGAAGACCATTATGAATTCAAACATGTAAGTACAGTTAATTCTAGCTTCAAAGACAACTTGTGGGTTCATATGCAATTTGATTGCCAGTTTCTGACTACCTTCACGCACAAGTCCCCAGTATCAAGTAATAGCTACTTTATTTTTATAGCATTTAATGACCCATCATCACATTCCCTTTTATATCACCACAAAAACATCCCCTCCAAATTTAATATAAAAGCTAGTATTTTTTTTTACCTAATGAGAACATTGAATAAACACAGCAAGTGAACAGTTTTAGAAGGAACACATCTGAAATTTTCCATATTTCAGTAAAAGTTTGTGAGGTAAGATAAGCTTGTGGTAATTTATCAAATTAAGTTGTACTCAAAACATTCACTTTATATCTTTCTTCTTTGTTTTTTTAAAAACAAAGGGTTCCAAGTTCACGAGAGCCAGCCTCAAGTTAAGAGTCTAGTTATGGCATAAGTACATATATGATTCTCATTTCTTCAGTTGTAGCTACAATTGCCTTTAGAGGGAAAAAGTCTCTGGGACCACTCCAGTACAGTCCATATATGGGGCTTAAGAAGTCAACTTCAAATACTTTAAATAGGCACCTAATGCAGCAGAGTTTATACCATAATTGCAGCTTTTCCCCCCCAATTCCTTTGTATACAGTAATTTTCTCTTTGTGTTGCAGAAACGCAAAAAACCCCAAAGACTCCTAAATGCATAGGCTCAGCAACTACTCCGATTAAATGTGATAAATATATCTTGTTGAGGATACAGTTACACAGCATGCAATTCCTTACACAGCAAACCATCCTTCTAATCCTTGAGACATACCATCACCATAACAGGTAGTTAGTAAAAGGGATGTTATTGGGGGGGGGGGATAAAAATACCAGAGGTCCAGCTTGCTCACTGCAAGGCCGATCCTTTAATTTATTTTCTTCATCTGCGTTTTTAGTACAACCATTTACAAGTTCCTTGAAGATTTCCAGGCGTATTTCAGAATTTTCTTCAAGCCGTTCTCGTTCATGAGAAAGGCACTTTCTAGAGTAGGAAAAATAAGTCAGCTAAAAGTTAGCCAGTATGAGCTGCTAAGAAGTTATTAGTACAGCTGCCTATAAACAAATATGTTTTTTTCTTTGACACAATACAACAATACACAAAACAGTGTTGCTACACCAAAATAGAAGTATATTTCCCACACACATATCCATGAAGAATGAGGGGAAGACAAATATATACACAGATTATGGATAGCACTTAACTACAAGCATTTTTTCTAAGCTTCTTGAGCCAGAATACGTGTTTGGAGTATCACTAAGACTGCAGTGACCAAAGAATTTGCAAATGTCACTCTTTCTATAGACTCTTTCTATAGACTCTTTCAACAAAGCTCTTCTCTTAGAGAGTGCTCTACAGGAACAAACACCGCTTACAGATTCCACACAGACCTCCCTACCCACCCCCCAAAAATCAAAGCCTTTCCTACACAGTATTGTTCCTGAACTCACAGGCCAAACAGAAATTGATATATTAACAGAGGTAGTAAGTCCAGCAGAAGAGTGTTGTCTCTTATGGCCAAGAGACAGATGTAAAAAATAGAGTGAATTTATTTTCATTTTTTTAACCAGTAACTTTAAAACCTTAAAAGCTTAGAGTTTTTAAAGAAAAACTTAAAGCTAACTTACTTGAAATCTATTTCCCGCTCTGCAAAATATTGGGTAAATTCTTGTGTCACTTCTTCACGAATTTTTAGTTCCAGCAGTAACTTATTCTTCTTTTCAGTAATAAGTTTGTCCTTCAACTCTTCTATGAGACTCAGCAGCGCCTAGAATTACCATTAGTATTAAGTTTTTCATAAAGAAATAGTTTCCCAGAAGTAAGATTTTTCCCATTCCTCAAACACTACAACACTTTACACTTCCAGCTGGCAAAAGTTCTTCCAGTTCTTTTATTAGCTTATTCATAAACGGGAAGATTCTTGAGTAGATTTAAATATCTGTTTGGTACTAGCACAGCAATTTATAAGTTTGCATAGAGTAGGCATTTACATAGAACATTAAGTTTATTACAAGAATTCTTGAAGTTGTCTTAAAAAACAAGCTTAAGCTCCACAGGATTTGGCTCTTGTTTTCCAGATGCTTATTTTTCGGGCAATATTGATGAAACCTCCACAAAACAGTCTAGTCCTCTGTTCCCTCCTCCTTGTCTTCCCTAGAAGTGACTAAAATTGCTGTTCCTTAAAGAATGGTTTTCAGAGTTTTCTTGTGCATAAAATACAAAGGAACAGTCTTCTGTATTGCTAAAAACCAGGTAATACTTGCTGTGCATTGACCATATATTACCAAAAGGAGAAAAAGCCAAATCTGCAATTCTTAATGCTCAGTCTGTATTTAGACACATTTCATAGAATTTTCCCACAATAGGCACTAAGTCATGAGTAATCCCACTTTTAGTTCTTAATGCTGGATTTAGGTAGAATAAGGGTGATCAGGAAAAAAAACCCCTCAGGTGAAAGATGGGGGAAACCAGGAGAAGAATACCTTGCTTCAAGACTCCATGCTATACTAATTCTTAGAGTAGCCCTAGCACATACCATATATTCTTCTTTTCCAATAAGAACATTTTCTTTGTGTTTCTGCACTGTTTCTTCTCTTGACATATTATGCTGTTCTTCCATCTCATCATCATCATCTTCAATCACATCTTCTAAGCTCCTGTCCCATAGGATAGTAGCTCTTTTCCTTGGGATTGGCATTCTAGTGTAACTAAGTAGTGATGTTTCTCTTGCTGATTTCTGGCCAAATGGTTGATCTTGGGGAAGAATAGATGTGTCCATAACTAAAACCTACCCAGAAAGTAAAGAACAAAGTCATCAGTATTTTTTAAACCTCTACTGGCACTTCCAAGAGATACCTGTTGCACTTTCCTATGGGTTTCCTGAGCATATCCTATGTTCAGCCTATCCTCTGTTCAGAGTCACTACTTATACAAGTTTCCAGCTAAAGTACAAAGGACTCACTTTATAGTCTAACCCTTCTTTTGATCCCAAGAACACCAAGTTTCACTAGCTTGACAACCTTCAAGAGGGTTGCCACCTCATGCACCAACAGATTTCTGTATTTCCTATACTTTGAGTTTCTAGTTGCATTACATAAATGCCATTCTACAAATTCTGTTCCTTGAACAGCTGTATCACCCTTACAGTCTGCTCCTTCTAGCGTTGTACTTAACCTGCTTAGATGAGCCCACATTCCAAAGGCCTGGATCTATTGTCCTTTGAGCATGTCTAACTGTCAACAGAAGTATTCCATGGCTTCCATTAAGGCTGCAGCACTGATCCCTGATACTTTCATTTTCCAACTTTGCCAGGGTTATATCACTGCACTTACTCCTACTCATTCTGCTTAACCTTCACCTTCCCACTGAAGCCTCTATGGACTTAAAGGCAACCTTTCAAACTCTCTTTGGTGCTCAACCTATTTTAGCAATATTTCAGGTGAGCAATATTCCAAATTAAGATAGCAATAGTTTATGGGGCAGCTAGAATTGCTCCTAGGTGAGAGCATGTTATGAATACAGAAGAAAAATTTACCTAGATCTCAGGGAATTTCTTCCAAATATAGCAAGTGTCTTGTTAGGCCGGACATTTTATAGGAATTATGGATTTTCAGTAGGACATGCTCCCACACTCCAAAGAAAAAAAGAAAAAGTCCCAACAAAGCTTTTTGAAAAGCTTTACAATGAAATAAAGCCTGACTAGGAGTAATTAGAAAATACAATTGCAACATGAGACAGAAAAATCCAGTAACTAAATTCATATTCTCAGAAGTGAGAGAACCTGCTTTTTAAATGCAAATCAAAAGTACTGATCAACAAGATAAAATACAACACACTTACTTTTTGTGCAATGGCTGAGAACTTTAGCACATTGAGTGTTTCATCATATGCTGAAGCACATTGGCTTATGTTTACTATCATGTATACCTTCCCCTTTCCACTGAAGAATCCTTGAAGGAAATGAGTTAACTTACTTTCCCGAAAGGGTATGTGCTGCTGCAACCTTTGAAGACAAAAGAACAGATGACCAGAAGTTTAATAATTTCCAGACAGTGTAAGAGCTATCCAGCTTGAAGACATAAAAATTTATAAAAGCAGTAGTCTTTAAATCAATTAAAATTGTTTTGGACTAGATACAGCTGTTTGTGGAGAGATTGCGTGGCTGTTGTGACTGCTGCTTTAGCCATTATCTCAGATAGGCTATAGCAATACAATCAATGGGAGCACTTAAACCAAAAACGTGTTCAACATTTAGTCTAGGGTAGGTCACATGGCCTCATGCTACATCAAACTATGCCCCACCTCTCTCTTTTCCTTTCCACATTCATGAAAAGGACATATCTAGTTCTAGGCATGCAGTATCCAACATTATCAGAGATCTCTCTCACTCAGTATGAAGTGAGAGAGAATGGACAATAGCAAGTACCTAGGCAAGAAAATGAATATACCAAACACATGGAGATGCTTTTCAGAATTTTTTCCCTAATCCCCCAGCAGTTTGCCACTTCCTAAATCAGAAGTTGTGCCCTTGAATTTAACAGCTGGTGATGTAGTTTTTGACGCTTGTAGGAAATTTTATGAGAATTCCTAAAACACAACTAAACGCACACTTGCCACTGAATAGGGTGCCTGCATTTTGGACACAACGACTATTCAGTTATATGAATAGTGCTACAGAACTCAGCAAGATAGTGACATTCCTGCCAGAATACATATACAGCTCATAAGCAGCTTTGCTGCAGGACAGATAAACAAGAATCATTTTAAGAAAGTTACTGCTTCCTATTCAACTTGCAATGGGCATCTATTAACACTTCAAGAGATTATGCTTCAGAACATTTCTTCTATATCATTAAAATTCCAAGTTATTAGGATCAGAAAAAGACATTCTGAATATATTAACCGCCCTCTAAGCAGCTGCTAGTTTTAATGCATCCTTCCTATCTGGAAAGAACAGGAAGATAAGAAAGACCGTAAATTCACAAAACGTAGGGTTAATCAGGAACACACGCTAGCAAAGCTTTTTCATCTTAAGGTGTGACAGACTTCGAATAGGCTTTCAGGAACAGTGTTATGGGGTAAGTGAATTTGGCAAAGCACATCTGGGCATATCAATCAGCAGACGGAGAGTTCATTTAACTTCTGGGACAGAAATAGATCTTCAAATGAGAACCTGTGGAGAAAGCAGTTCCTGGACAGTTACATCCAGCTATGACTATATATTGTATAGTTTTTTAGACAGCTAACTTTTTGAGTTGTTGTACTCTTATTTAGATCCCCAAGCTAGGGCATAAATAGCAGGAAGGCTTTCTTTGGTCTGCATATGATTAGCTAGATCAGGAGGAGAGAAAGTTATGTCAAGATTTAGACAAAACAGACAAATTTTGTCAAAGAGTGCACAGCTATGACAGCACAGCAATATCCTGCTGATGAAAAGTGTTACACTAGAAGTACATAGAAAATTGAGTTAGTTCACAAAGGAGTAAGAAAAGGCTGAAAATTTGTCTCTTACTATGACACTAGTGAAAAAGGGGTTTTAACCTTATTCCAAAGTTTGTTTGATAAGCCAAGCTCAGAAAAAGAAAGTTAAATTGCTAAATCTATGACAGCGTGTTTAAAGGATGTTAGAATTTGAATTATTTAATTAAAGAGCGAAACAAGGCAAGTTTAAAGACAACTTTGGTAGATCAACAAGACCTCACAGTATAGACCTTACGAGTCTATACATCTTTTCTACCAAAAACTTAGTGTTGGCATTGCATATTTTAAACAATAGCTTTTAAACATTGTGGGCAACACCTAAAAACCACAACCAGTTTGCAATTCGTAAAAGGACTTACTTTGACTGTTGACAGTTCTTGAGTGCATTAATACACTTGCCTAGAATCAGGAGAGAGGTGTTTATATTTCCACTCTCTTTCAATCTGTCACCTTCATTGCGGGTCTTGGTACATCTTTCTGAACCAGCAAGATCACACATTGACAATCTGAAAGCAGATAAGGAAAGTTAATTTTATTTACCTTAGAACAAGCACAAATTATTCACTTTTAAAAAAATGATCACTTTTCTTAGAAGAAGAATTTCTTGATCTTCATCTGCATGAACACTTCCATCCTTTTCAACATTGCTTCCCCAATCAAATTTCATACTACCTCCTGTCAAACCCTTTCCCAACACGCTTCCTATTTTTCTCCCCCATCCTCTCCCTTCTGAGGACTTACATGAGTTCAGGAGTCTAGCAGGCTATCAGAACCTTGTGCTGCACAGAGGGGACAAGATATACAACAGCATTGCAACCTGATGGCTTGAGGTAGGGGGCCAAGTATTGTATGAGTGTAGGAAGTGAGGGAAACCACCATACATGCATAAGGCTCTACCAGGGAACACTGGGTGCATAGGGCAGTACCAGTACACCAACATGGAGGATAACTGACAACTTGATCACAAAAGAAGAGGGGGACTCTGTTCTAAACTTACTCATTGACTCGGGTCACTCGTGGTGCTCCTGAATCTTCAATTTTTAGTACCTTAACTGTGAATATGCTGTGACTAAAAGGAGAAGTTTAAGTCAGCAGAGAAGTGATAAAGTAGACCAATACCTTCAAAATGTTTTTAGCGTCCACAACGTCTGTCAAAAACGTCATTGAATCTGTCAACATACCTAAGCATATACTCCATCAGATACAAACTTCTAAAGAGAGATTTATGTAGCACTTATTTTGCTTTTTCCTCAGACATTTAGATGAAATAAAGCTAAGTGCTCTTCCTTGAAGGAGAGTATTTGATAAAACACTGTTAGCTTTTGCACATGTTCATCTTACTAAAGGATTGAATCCTTTTGGCTTGAAGCATTGGGTCACATACTGCTAAAGGACGCCAAAATTGAAACCTAGGTATCTAGGCCTCGTTAAAGCCTCTTCCCCTCCTAAAAGCCACAAGCCATATTTTAGTTTCTCCTTCCTCCCACACATCATTCTATGCCCAATGTTATTTAAAATGTTTCTCACCTTCTGCTGGAGCAAGTATTTAGTTTTGTGCTTGCAATACTCTGGTGTTTCAACCCCAGTTTTAGAAGTCTAAAAGCTTCTTTAGAATCAGAAATCTGAACCCACTGCAGATCTTTAGGAAGAACAAAGATGATAATCTTGTAAATATCATTATCAAAAAGAAAGAAGGGATTAAGGGATAATGTATGCACACCAAGAATAATACGTTTGAGACATGCAAACATTTTGCTAAGCCTTTCAGACAAATTATATGACAAATAAGATCAAGATTCCTCCTTCCATGGGAAAGGAAGGACAAGTATATCACATCATTTCATCCTATTGGCACACTACAATACATTCCATACAAATTAAGTGAGCAGCCTTAGCCTAAGCACTGAAAAGCCAAAAGGTAGAATCTAATAAGAGTATGAAAGCCCTATGTGTTCATATTCATCAAGGCAGAATTCCACCTGGACAGCTTCTCTCTTTTAGCCTACAATTTGGGGGAGAAGGTGAAGTCATCTGGATATCTTTCAGGGCCATCAACTTAACTGAAAAAGATCAGTGAATAATTTTGTCTGCAATATGATGACTGTATGTCATCTTGGTTTGTGCTAGAGTAAACACCTACAACCCTACTAATAGAACTTATAATACAAACATTATGGCCCCTGTTAAACTAGAGGTCACCAAAATTGTACTAGCAAAAATACCAGCTGTGTCCAAGAAAAACAAGAAAATCATTAACTGGTTTTCCTCAATAACATCAGGAACAGCCTTACACTTCCAAGCTTTATAAAAACAACATTATTCTGAAGCATAGCTCAAAGCAGACTATTTCCTACTTCACACATTTTCTAATCTTTGAAGAAATGAAGGAGTTGGGTTTATTGTCCATTTCAGCTTTTTGAATCTATGGCTTGGCATATGAAAGATAACAGCAGCAGGCAAACACCTACAAAAAAGCCTTTAACCTAGATTGGTGTCTTGATTGTCCAAAGAACCTGTAACAAATCAAACAGGTTTCAAACCCTATTTTTTCCACAGCCAGAAACATTGAACTGTTATTTTGAATTCTGTTAACTCCCCACCCCCCACAACCCAAGACAAATTACATTACAGGTTTGATTAAACTGGAGTACTGTAAAATGTAATTTATAGTCAGACTGAACTTTCTCACATATTCTCTGAAGTCTGTGTCTCTACAGAAAACACTAAAAAAAAAAAACTGTTGAGCCAATTATAACTACAGCTAAGAACTTTTGGAGTCTTTTTTTAAGAAAATGGTTAAAAACCAAACCACTAACAAATTTGTCAATTTTCAATATTTCACCCATTTCAAAGAAATATCAAGGCAGTGGAGTCAACGCAGGCTTTTAAGAATTACAGTCAAAAGTAAAGAGAAAAAACTATTAAAGGTACAGATACTTCTATGTATGTAGATTGTTGCCTTTCATACTCAAGGTAGACATTTCTAGTGCCACAGTGAACGCAGTTTAGGAGTTTTCTAATCTAGAAAGAAACATTATTACAGGAAGACTGACTTTTGCAAATCGCCAAATGTGTAATTTGTAATGTATCCTAATCACCTTTTACATAAGAACATCCCTTGATGTCTTGAGCAAGGCGTAATGTTTTTCTTTTCTTGTCATTTGATATAGGAATCAGTAGATCATAAAAACATTCATTGTATATCTCGAAAAATGAAACCCAAACAGAAAACTTCATGTAATTTTTCACAGTTGTTCTAGATTGTTCCGGGTCTTCTAAGAGTTCTTCTAAATCTGCCAAGTACAAAATATTACAAGTCAATATAGGCCTAGTAAAGTGAGTTTCATTTAAAAAATTAATAAGTGAAAATTGATATTACAGCAGCCTTCTAAAACACACTTACCCCAGACAAAAAACCATTGAAGTCTTCCCCCCCTTTCTTAAGTATCTGGATGTCACATACTTACCCTACCTATCTGCAAGAGACATCTACTCTACCACTTCCTTTTCCACTTGCAAATTCTATCAAACACGTACCACTTAGAATTATTCAAGTCTCTTCAATGTCTTTAAAAGACAGAGAATTAAACTGACAAGTACACTTCATTCTGACTTTTTAAAGCAAACCTAATGTTTAGGTAGCTTTTAAATGCTAGGATTAGGTTTATCTAATTACATACAGGTACTCTAAAAGCCTGTCAGGATACCACTAGGGCCCATAGCATAAGTAGTACTACTTTTCCTTGCTATAGTTTCATCTCATTTAATGCCCATCCAGGTATTCTTCTAACCATTTTATCCTTGTTTTTTCTGCCCAGACAACTTGCTCACTATCCAATTCACAGGCATATAAAAATACCGAGTAGTCATTTTATTATTAACATAGGCCAGAAGTCAGTTATTGACCTTAAGCTTCTTTGCCAGCTTTAATTGCAATTCTTTAATATAAAACATACCCTTAGAATCAATTGGTGCTTTGTTGTTAGTGCTATTTTGATGGTCTACCTACAAGAGAGAACAGAGACTTTAAGATATATTGTTGACAGTACATCACCAGTACACCACCAGTTACTTCTGTGACAGCTCTATGGTCCTACTAGATAGGAATACAGTGTAGTTGCAATAAGCCAATACACAGATCCTGGCTACACATCATGCCTGGTTCAATGCACTTGTACAGTCCTATTGATAGGGTTGTTCTTACCTTAACACTCACTCCCAACACTTCTCTTGCATCAGGCCTTACTACAGTATATAGCATTTCATCTTGATGAACCAGAAGAAAACTAGCTACAGAAAAATAGAGAGGTGGGAGCCCACACAGAAACAGGGTGATTTAACAGGATTGTTTGCGGGATACCGGTTGCAGTTTACACATTACTCTTAGCCTGGTGAATCTAGAGAGTCTTGAAATTTTTTGTTATTGGTATTTTGCTAATTCAGGATTCCATATCTTACAGCTTACAAGGTCAATCCTCAGAAACAGAGGTAAATGTAGAACACTCGTTCACTTAAGAAATTAAGTGAGCAACTTATTGCTTCATGATACAGGCTGTAAAAACCTTTCACAGTTGAAATAAAGTCTAGGCTTTAGAAAGAGAAGGGAAGTTTTCTTCTGCTGAGCTCTTTAAAAAAAAGATAAAACAAATCCCTACAGCTAGAGCTTCTGAGGTTAATATACATACACTCCATTCCCAGTCTTAATTTTGTTTGGCTGTTTTTTTCAGGCACAGAACTGCAAAGAAGTGCAACTCATCTATCAAAACCACGATGCTTAAGAGAAGAAACATGGATTAAAAAACAGGTGTGGTTTGGATTGTTTTTGGTTTTTGGTGTTTTTTGTTTGGGGTTTTTTTGGTTTTGGTTTTTTGTTTGTTTGTTTTACATGTTTTGTCAAGAGTATATTTCATATAAAGCTGGGATTCCATAAAGTGATTCCTGAAACCATTGAATATTTATGTAATCAAAACTTTCAGGTTTAAACTTTACACATATAAAACACCCACCCAAACCTCTCTCTGTTGAAGCAGCTGCAAACTTTGCCACCACATTTATAAGCTTAAGTATAGTTCTTATAACCACAGTTTTGGAAACTAGAGGGAGCATATATGTGTATTCAGACACACATACGTGACTGTTCTTTCTGATGTCCTGAAAAGACTGCTAGAGCTAGATTTAACATATGCCTGTGCTTTTGAAATGAAGTCTTGAAGAATTTTGCTGCCACCTGCCTTCCACACCAGAGAAGTCCAGTTTGGAGAAGTCCAGTTAACTAACCCATGGACAAAAATCAAGGTTAACAGTTGTATTCCATCCCACAATGGCCAGAACACCCCATTATAACCTAGCGTACCACTAGGGAGATGCTTAATTATTTTCATTAAAATTTTTTTTAAAAAATCACAATAATCCCTTTTAGTTCCAATTCCTAGCATATGCTCAGGGTTTTTTTATATTATTCCATTCATTTCAGAATGAAAAGCACCAAGAAAAAGGTATGTTTATACAAAATACAAATCCCCCATAACTGTAATTGGACTAAACAGCTTCAGAATTCCAGGCAACTCATAAAATTGAAGTGTATTTCTGGACTGCTCAACAGTGATCTCTAAGAATAGTCCAGCAGAAACCCATTTTAATTCAAATCTTTGGAAGTCCACTGGCTCTATAGCTCTTCTGTTTCAAAAAAGGTTTTGCTTCCTTTGAGGATATTTGCCAAACTGGAAGAGGGGAACAACCTCAAAATCATTAATTTATTTCAAGTATCCTGAAAGACAGTAAATTGTTTAAAGGATCAGACCTACTAGCATCCCTACAGATGGAAAGACCATTTGTATTCAGTCTTTATTCAGCACCAGTAACCCCAGAGGATAAATTATCAGGTGCCCAAGCTATACACAAAAAGCTTAGAGTTTAGATCCTATCAAGTGTTTAGCCACAAGACAGAAATCCACAGAACAGGGTTCATCAGCTCTATTGCTCACTTTACTGCTAATCTGAATAGCTGGCTGACAGTAAATAGACACATTCATGCTTGAATACAGATAGCCTCTTCCCATTGAGAAATGAACAGGGTAACTAAGCTATCTAAAGATGTGTGTACTCATCAGTATAGAAAGAAGTGCTCCTCTACCTCTTTTGTTAGGCGAAGTATTGAATTTTTAATAGCAGTTTCTTCTCTCACTTGGTCTTTAGTCAGCTTTATATAATCTCTACACCGATGGGGTTTGAGATCCATTGCTGTGTATAGCTTTCCTTGAATACTTTTAAACAGCATATCCATAGTCCTTGGCAGAATACCAACATCATCTTCTGTCCCTGTAAGCAACATACAAAAGAAAGATCTAGTTATTACCGTGAACAAGGTATACAGATAAATGAAGACAGAAAGATAAGCAATTCGAATCTCAAGGCATACATGAGGAATTTGGAGGCCACTTACAGCATGAAGCAGTGGTTTTTTGTATTCTCAAGGTCACAGAAGTGTCATTAGTATGTTTTGAAAGGTATTTGGCTTTCAGCAACAGCTCATGCTCTACCCCTTAGACAGCAAGGGGCATAACATAAAACAAAAAAACTGCTGGGGTATTCTGCATAAGCTTAGCCTTAAGGAAAAAAAAAAATCTAAACAGACATTTAATAGAGATTTGCAGTTTTTCAATCACATTTCATAGGCTGCTTTCACACTCTCTCTCTCAAGGAAGTAATCTTGAAATACAACTGATGACTGATCTCTCAGCTGCAGTCCTGTACTAATTCCACAGATTCTAAAAAAAAGTTATAGAAGCCTTGTGAAGACTCACTCCTTTCCCTGTCCCAGACCCTTTTCTCAGAGCATACTACTTTTGCACCTGAAAGGCAAAAAGGAGTCAAATAAAAGCCTCAGTGCATGCTTGATCTTTCTAAAGCCAGATGCAAGTTTAAAAAAGGTTCACTTAACATTGATTTCTAAACCAGAGAGAAGGGGAGGGAGGGGAGAGTAGAAGAGAAACTACTGTTCTGTCTCAGACTCTGATAGCATCATCTTCCAGCCTCTGATAATTTTTCCTACTCCTAAGACAGATGGGCTTTTATCAGTTACAGCACTAGCTGTGTTGCCTAAGTCAGAACCTTGGCACTCAAACATCAAGCTAGTAACCAAATACCATATTAAGTTGAAGTACTGTTGCATTATGTTTGTTTCTCCTCACCTCCTCTCTTCTCTAATCATTTTTTATTTATTGTAGTGCCACATGTAATTCAACTTAACGTGAACAAAGTAACAGTCACTGGCAAACAATGAACAGTCCTAAAAAACTGCTTCCTCCTTCACTTAAGTCCTTTGCCATTGACAGAATACAGGCTGCCATGTAGTGCCAAAGTGGAAAGGCTATATTGACAATACTGGGAATAACAGAAGAGGAAATCATGGCACCCAGTAGGCAACATTCTGCCCTGTCAATTCTTACCACAAGTTGATAGTTAAGTCCTAAAAATATACTACCATAAAAAAGTCTCCAGAGTCTGAGAAGATGTGAATCAAAAAGTTCTTGAAAAACCACACTACACAATATACCCCAAACTAGTCAAGCACAGAGGACCGTACATGTTAGGAATTTTGGTTTTTGTTATTTATCTATTATTTATTAGGACAGGAAAGAGCATCCCATTATTGCCTCCGATTAATGATAACTGAAAGTACTAGCAGTAGTCTTCAGTTATAATCCACCTAACAGAAGATCACTTAGAAGACAATGTCACTTCAATAAAGATTAATTTTATATGGCACAAAATTCATTGTCCTTATACTACTTCTGTGTATAAAATAAGTAGTATAGCATCTAGAACTGCCATTTCATTATAGGAGAAATTGTTTCCATGTGAATCAAATCACCTCATTTGTTAAAATGCTTTGAAAAATAATTAAAGAATGACATCTTCTGACCAGAAAGGATATTGAGCTTTAACAGTACAGAAATAGTGCATCAGGAGGCGAGTTCTCCTAGGATATTACTCATAAGCTCAGAAACTTGAGACAAGACAGAAATACTTGGAAGTAATCAAACATGTTTCAAAACATTTATTCTCTGCCTGTAATTGAAACAGACTCAAATACTATTCCTTATTTGAAGACAGTGCATATAAGATGCATATGATCTTTATAATAATAATAAAAAAATAACAAAGTGCTAGTCTGGTTTAGAGTGACATACACACTTTTCATATCCTGATATACAAAAAGATGTATTTTCCCAACTCCCCCTCCTCCCTGACATTCTAGATAGTTGGAGGGGAAAAAAAGTCACACACACCTGGTTGAAATTATTATAGCTTTACAAAGCAATATCACTATATGTTTGTGGAAACTCTAGCAGTGACTGTTGTTATGGAAGGAGACTTTCAAAGGCTATTCATTAACATTCAAGAGAAGCCGATGTACAGGGCCTACAGTTTAAATAAAGGAAAAAGTTAAGGTATTTCTGCTAGAAGTAATCCTCACTTTAAAAAGAAAAAAAAGGAAGTTCATTCAAGGAGAACACATTTCTACTTATACCTTGGAATGTGTAGGTCTTCCCAGCATTTGTAACGCCATATGTAAAAATAAGACGATTATATCCGTCTAAGAAATCTTGCACTGGTTGCTTCATGGTACCTTCAAAGAATTCTTCTTGAGTTGTTTCAGGTCCAAACACCTGAGCATTATCAAGAAACATCTTTATTTTGTTTAGATCAATCAGTAGAGACTTTTAAAGAATCTTTTAAATTCTATGTTTATAATCTTAAAGACTATTGACAGTTAAAAAAATCTAGTTTGTTTGGTATTAAGTTAAATAACTTTTTGCAGGAATGAATTAAAAACTTTTAAAGACAATTCATTTACTCGTGAAAAAGTGAACTTCTGTATCATCTGTCCAGCAGTTTTTTCACTTAGTCGACTCAAAGAGTTTTTGGGGGGTTTCAGTATGATGCTTGTTGAGTCTTCAAGTGAAATGCAGTCCTATTAAAAGGAAGCACAAGCAATGCAGGCATGAAAAATGTATAAAGAGCTCAGCTTACAGGAAAAAAAAAATCCCACACATTTAAAGTATTTTTAAACTAAATAAGTGTCACACCTGCAATTCATTTTCTCTTTCCAACGATGTAAATGGCCTAATACGCAGGCAAACTTGTATGTGTCCCTTAGACTCCAAACTGCTTCTCTTAAGTTAAAAAAAAAAAATTAAGTTAGAAATTTGACTAGATTCTTTGTTTGACAGCTAGCATGTTAAGGCAGTTTTATTTTCATCAGGCTATTTTGAACAGACTTATTTGATGACATGGGAAGCAAAAGTAATTCACTACATCAGTTTTTACAAGTACTTAGGCCTCTGCAGACATTCGCTGTAATAACTTAGAGTTAATAATCTTGTAGCACGTATACATACACACTACATTCAGGCCAACTAGAGATCAAGAATGAAACCCACAAAAACATTCTATTAGCCTCATTCACAGAAGACTGATGCACCCAAGGTATCAATGCAGTACCACACAACTTAGTCTAATCGTATGTACCTCCTTCAAATTAAAAAACATACTGAAGATGCTTTTAATCTTCTCTATAAAATTCTGATTATTCTTATTGATGAAAGGACTAAGTTTATTTAAAAAAAAAAATTCCAAACAATGCAAACATTAAAGCTTTCTTACCTGGCTTGTGTCTGAGCTTGAAGAAACCAAAGAAAATTCAGCAGATAGATCTGCTTTTATATCTTCCACATTTACTGGTCCTGCTCTTTGAGATGGCTCAACACTAGCAATGTAGGATGGTCTGAAAAATTTCTCATTATCCAAAGTTGGTTCCATCCTGCAAGATAAAATAAAACTATTTTTTGCTCTCCGACCACATAATGTAGAGCTTCAAAAGTCCCTTAGAAGACAAGTCAATTTGAGACTGATAGCTGCAATTTCTTTAAGAAGAAAGCTTTCTTCATCCTATTCTTAATTTACATAGCAAGTTTCTGATAGCTGGGGAGAGGGTCTGCAGAGGGGTTTGCAACATGATGAAACAAGAAGAGCCGTTATTCTTTCAATGAAAAGCAACTGTTTACCAGTGAAAAGCCTTACACATATGCCACAAGCTTGCTAGAAACCATGTCTGACAAGGAAGATATAATTTTAGAAAAAACAATCATATTTTTTCACACCCACTTCCCCATCATCCCATTATAGTGTCCATTTAGAATAAAAACTCATTGCAGGAGTAACCCAAACTTCATGGTTACCTCTGCAGGAGCTGATAATAGTTGGTATTATAAAGATAACACAATGTAGCTTAATACAAGAGAGTTCAGCAACATTCTAAAGACTAATAGGTAATTTTAACTATTAAGGGGACACTGGAAAATTAGAAGACCTCATGCCAGAGTAAAAGTTAAAGTATTGCTTCTCAGTAATTTTTTTCAGTCATTTTATAGATCAGTAATTCATTTCTTAATCCATAATTTAATAATTTTTGTGCATCTCAGAATTTGGGCAGTGAAAATTTGCTATAGAAAATGAAAGTAAATTGATTCAGTGTTGATAGTAGACAGGTAAATTTCAAAATAACCTTTGAAAAGTGCATTTCATTTAATTTAGTATATTTTGTCTGCACTTTACTCTCCTATTGCTTTTTCCTGTGATATTACAGACTTTGCAGCTTCTGTTACAGATTAAGTTTAAAATAATTTATTGGGCAATTACTCATAGACTATGGCAGCAAGTGTTCTAGCAATTAGACACCTACCACATGGCCTCTTACAGTTTTGAAGCTTTGGACACAACGATTCAACAGTCTTCTAATACTACATTCCTGTGTCTATGCTACAGCAATGCATATATGTTGTCTCTCTAAATACTAATGGAGAACACACGGTGTTCATTAAAACGATGGACAGACCTCAACATAAAACCTGGATCGTGTCAGCACTTCAGTGTCAAAACACTGTTGTGGTTTAATCTGGCAGGCAGCCAAACACCACGCAGCCACCCGCTCACTCCCTGACCCCGCAGTGGGATGGGGGGGAGAATCAGGAGGAGAAAAAAAAAAAATTCGTTGATTGAGATAAAGACAGTT